TGCTGTAATTTCACTTATTTCACTGTAGTGTGTGGAAGAGGTGTGTGTGTGTGTGTGTGTGTGTGTGTGTGTGTGTGTGTATTCTGAGTGAAGTAACATAAAGTTTTGGCCACCAGTATCAAGGTGTCAAGGAAGAGAAGACAACAGTTAGAACAGATCACCAGTATTAAAAAATCACATGCTTACTGAAGCATACACACACCTGCTAGGGAGATTTATAGGCTGGGCAGATGACTTTCTCTTGATTATGGAAGTCTTTAGGCTGAGGAAATGTCTTAAGCAGTGCAGGCCTGAAGCACAATGGTGCATTAAGGTGAAAAGCAGCTGTGTTAGTAGAGAGTGGGCTCAGGAACTGATGATATGTTGGCATGCTTGCTGGCATTGGGGATCTGTTTGAAGCCTTTTCAGAAGTTAGACCTGGGCCTTCCTGAGCCTAGGTAAGATGTAAGGTAGATGTCAGAGAAGCGAAACGGAAGGTAGAGCTGCGGTGAGAGGGAACAATGAGTGAGGACATGTTTAAGCATTGGAAATTAAAATTAGTATTGCTTTAATTAGGGATGAGGGAGAAAAAGGCATTTGGAGAGTGAAAAGCTAGGTAAAAACTAGTTTGGCTTTTTTTGTTGGTGTTCTTTTTCTGCCTCTCCAAAAAAAGTAAAGCTATTAGGTTTATTTATTTGGTATAGTTTAACGAACTATAGACAGCAACCTGGCTATAGGGATTAAAGTTAGAAAAATGATTTTGGAGGGGAGGGTACTTATTAAAGGGTGTTTTTTTTAGGCAGAAAGTTCCTAGCAAGTGAACATTAGTTATAGAGATTTTGGATTGAAACCTGGAAAGAACTAAACTTGTGCTTCAGAAGACTCTTTAAAATGTATTTTTATTCTCCTTGTTTCTCCTCCCTGCCTCCTTTGTGTTTGGTAGTGTAGCATCTCGGGCTTGGCAAAGAAACAACAGAAAAATCTAACTGAGCGATGATGAGTGATGAGCTGACCCAGAGAAAGTTGACGCACAGAAACAAGGTTGAAAGTCTTGAGCTGTGTTGTGCTCAAGACCTTTGGTGGTGGTGGGGGGAAGAAATGATTTGCAAGGTCACAGTTATGGCATGACTACTATGAATGGGGCAAAAAAAAAAAATGTTCACCCTCTCAATTACCTGAGTGTTCCAAATGTTTCATTCCCATCATAGATAATCAGAGAAACCTATAGAGTTTGGATGCAGGGGTTCAGAATCTAAACACAGGGACCAGAATCATGACCTTGCCATTCCATGCTGAAATATTGGCTGTTCCACTTCTGATCTACTTACTCTGATGGACATGGGAAAGAAGCAGAAGCTGGCCCATGTGCTTGGACAGCTGCAGCCCATGTGGGAGACCCAGATGTTGTTGTAGACATCTGACTTTGGCCAGACCTAGCTTCTTCTGCTTTTGTGATTGGGGGAAGTGGATAGAAGAATTATCTCTGTCTGTTTCACTCTACTTCTGAAGTAAATAAAATGAGTCCTTTAAAACAGAACTTTAAACCCTAGCTTGTCATTGGTTTTTAAACCTTTAAATTGAGATATTTGTTTAAGAGTTGTGGAGATCGAGTCAGAGAATGAGAGTGCTTTCACCTGCTTGTCTGCTCCCTGAGTGTCTGCTGTGTCTGAGGCTAAAGCTGGGAATCATGCGTACAACTTAGGTTTCCCATGTGGGGTCAGGAACTCAGTTACTTGAGCCATGACTGCTGCCTCCCATAGTCTGCATTAGCATCAAGCTGGAGTCAGTAGCTGGACCTGGGAATTGAACAAGGTAATTCTGTGGAATGTGAGTATCTTAATCATTAAACGACAAAAAAAATCCACTCCTCAACGTCCATTTGCAAGCTTCAGATAAATGTTTTCTTTCCGGTAGGAATATATTTTGTGTAAAATACAGTATGCTTTATATATAAAACCCAATTGGTGTTAAAAAAAAAAAAGTAACAGAACTTAGGTCAGTCAGCTTCTTTCTTTGGCCTTTGTTTTTGTTCTTTCCTTTGGAAGCTATGGGAGCACATCTGTATGCTTCCAGTTTAAGAAGTCATTGCCTTTCCCTCTATTGCACTTCTTTGTCATTGAGTGATAGTAGCTTGAAGTTTGCAGAAAAGTATCCTGTGGTGACTTCTGTTTGGTGTTTTCATTTCCTCAAAAGAAAATGAGGGAATTGGCTATATCGAGTTGTAACTGTGGTTGTAATCAGTACTTATTGCCTAAACTACATGTTAAGAACTTAATTTCCTTTGTCTTTAAGGTTTTGATTACGGTATCTGAAAATATTGGACAAAGTTACAATTCTCGTGGTTTTTCATTGGACTGGACGATCTATGCAACTGTTGTTGCATATTTTCTAATTTTCATGTTTTTGTGGAGAATTTTTCGATATGTAAGTAAATAATGCTATACTAAAAGAAGTTTATCCTGTCTTTAAGCAGAACAACTAATTTAGGAAATGTGTATTGCTTTAAGGAAAGATAATCACTTATGTTCTATGTCTAATACAAAAAACAAAGGCACAAAGGCATTCACAACAATTTTGTAAGTACAAACTTTTGAAAGAATTTCCTGTAGAGGTTTTCTGTAGTATTAAAATACCAAAATTCTTTCATTTCTTTTTTTTCTGTATTTTTAAAACTTTATTAGAGAGCTAGATAAAGAAGCACAGAGAAGCATACAGACCAAAAGAAATGTCCAATCTGCTATTTCACTGCTCAGATGCCTCCAACAGCTAGCGCTGGTCCAGCTGTGCTTGGGAGTTGAGAACCCAATCAGAGCCTCCTGCATGAGTGGCATGGCCTGAATACATGAACTGTTGTTGGTGCCTCCTGTGGTTGGTTTGTATTTGCAGGACCATGGAGGCAGGAGGTAGAGCTGGAGATTGAACCCAAGCCCTCTGCTTTGGTTTGTGACCATCTTACCATGCTGTTTTGCATCAGTAGGTCAAGTTCAGAAGTTTGTTATGATTACTGATAATTGATGTACTTAGTTCCGTCAAGCTTGGTTTATTAACTTCTTCCGCTTAACAAAAACAAACAAACAAAAGAACATTATGTATTTGAAAAGTAGCAAGACAAGTAGAGGGAATAAGCAAATAATCTTCTAATGACTGGTTCATTCTTCAAGTGGCTGCAATAACTAAAGCCTGGGCCAGAATGCAGCCCAGAAATTGCATCTGTTTCTTCCCTCATATGTGCCAGGAATTCAGTCTTGAGCAACCATTTGCTGTTTCCCAAGTCAATAATGGAGGTGGACTGCAAATGGAGCTGCTGATCTCTTGGAGAAACTGATCCCATTTCCAAGATATGCTCCTTTCATGTGGAACTTGAGGGTGACATCATGCAGCCACTCCATTTCCTGGGTCAAGAGAGCCATGCAACAGGGAGGGGTGCACTCTCTCCTGATGAACATAAATAAAAATACAAGCTTCTCTTTCTCTCACTTTGCTCATTCTGCACATTTATCCCTGAATGTGCCTGTGATTTCTTCATCATTTACATAACATTACAGAAAACAATTTTAAAAGATGTGGTGAAAGAAAGATTTCTTTGAAAGCCATAGTTGGAGGGAGAGATGAGAACAGAGGGAGGGGAGTTATTTTTTCATCTACTGTTTCACTCCCAAAATTTTGGCTACAACCAAATGAGGCTGTAAGATGACAGGCCAAAAGATGACAGGAGCCAGGAGCTTTTTCCAGTGTCCTAAGTGGGTGGCATGGGCCCAATAACACAGACCAACTCTTACTGCTTTCCAGGGTGCATTCACAAGGAGCAGGATTTGAAATTGAATAACCAGTGTCCATATGAGATGCTGGTATCACAGATGATAGCATAACATACTATGGCATTATAAGGGCTCTTTAAGGGTCTTTTAACTTGTTATTCTGCTTGAAATATAATGTGTCTAGCCATAAAATTCCTTTTCTGTATCTTTTAGACTTCTGCAGACTCAGAGTTAAGATTGTTTTTTGTAAACGTGGAGATACTTTTCCTTAAAAAAAATATTTTCTCTTTGTGAACTAATGTTTTTCCGTTATTACTTTTCCTTTTATTTTTCATTTTTTTTTAATTTTTGAAGATTTATTTATTTTTATTGGAAAGGCAGGTTTACAGAGACAGCGAGAGAAGAGGGTGATCTTTCATCTGCTAGTTCACTCCCCAAAGTGTACCCATGGCAGGAATGGAGTTGCTCAGAAGCCAGAATCCAAGCTCTTCTTCTAGGTTTCCCACATGGGTACAGGTGCTAAGCTTTTGGACCATCCTTCAGTTCTTTCCCAGGCCACAAGTAGAGAGCTGGATGGGAAGCTGAACATCCATGGTGAGATCTGGCACTCATTTGGGATACTGAGTGCTGGCAGGCAGAGGATTAAGCAGTTGGGCTGAATTTTTTCCTTTAAGCTTGAGGGAGTGTCTCAAAATAATGTTTTGGTTCACTAGTTTACCACTGTAGCATTCTATTATACCCTATTTTTCCTTGTTTAATTTTGTTTGAATCCATATTTTGTAGATAAATTAGGTTTTCTTTTCTTTTCTTCCCCATCCTTAATGGGACTGTTGAAAATGGATTTTTTTTTACTTTATTATTTGATAAAGATCAGAGAAAAGTAAGGTTTGCTTTACTGTTTTCTTTACAATCAGTTCAGATGTGTCCAATTGATGATATTTATCATATGTATTTTGAGTGTTAGCACTAGGGGATGTGATAATAGTTTTCTGAAAATATTCCTTTTAGTGCCAGATTTGTTTAGGGAAAATAAATGAGTGAAAGGAAGAAGGAATCTTTACAAAAAAAAAAAACTATTTTAGAGCTGTTTCTATAATACTTAATTTAAGTTTTTGATAGGAAGACTTTCACGTGTAGATTTTCTCATTGGAAATAGAGCATTTGTCCTGCAGAAATTATTTGTAACATTTACATTGGCAGAAGTTAACTTAGATATACCTAAATGTATATTTGCTTTAACATCTTTTGTTCAAAATTTGTTTCAGGTTAAGAGACATATTTTTACAGGTAAGCCTTTTTTGTTGCTCTATTTTAGATCTCATAATTTTTGTGTATAATCTGAAAACTTACAGTTTACTATATTTTTTAGTGAATAAGAAAAAGCTTGCTGTAGAACTTTGTGGACCAATAAAAGAAAAATGTGAACTACTTGACAAACATAGCTTTGCGGATAAAGAGGTAAGACAGTTTTCAAAATAAAAAGAGCCAAGAAACTGTAATTACTATGTACATAGTTTTGTGTAAATAGTTTATTTGGAGTGTAATACAGCATTATGCTGTTCTTCACTTCAACATTTAACAGTTCTTACTAATTTTAGTGATTGTGTTAGGAGTGATGTTGTCTCATTCTGGTTTTACCCTGTGTTATTCTAATGACTTTCTTTATATATCTTTTAACCACTTGAATTTTCTTTTTCTCAACTTGCTTTTTCACATTTTAAAAAACATATTCATGTTTTTTCTTTTAATAATTTTTTTACATTTTATCAGGTAGTCCTTTTTTCATTATGTTTATTTCAAGTATATTTTTCTAATCTGGCTATTGCAAACAGATGTTTTCACAAGTTCTCTCTATGTGAAGCCCTGTCTTCCAAACCAATAAGTAAATCTTTATTAGAATAATTTATAGTTTGTGCTCACGGTGTTGGTTTGTTTCAGAATGAGAATTTAGAGCCATCTTTGAAAGATTCCAGCTTTGAGGAGTCAAAAAAAGTGCAAGCTTTGAAGGTAAAGAAACCAAATGGCCTCCTTCTGAAAGTTGGGGCTAAAATTGTTGCTGATGACTAAGATAGACTTTATAGATAATATATTGTCAGTAAAGTAAGTTACAAAGAAGTGTGAAAGAATCATTTAGCTTTTATAACTTAAAAATGGTTAATTATTAGAAATAGGTCATTGGTAGGGAGCACATGTTTCGAGTGAGGTATGTTCAATTCACGGTAGAGCTCAGTAGAAGCGCTTTGTTCTTCCTTTTTGGAAAATTCCTGAGGTGATCTTTCCTTTTTTGGACCCAGTATATTCCACAAGGAGATGAAGGATTCATTCAAACAATGTCAGGAGTAGTTGTCAGCAATAAATTACCTAAACTGTGTAGTGGTATTTACCTTTATGTAATCCTCAGAACATTGGGAATTATTCAGAATCAGATCAGGGATCTACATTGTAAATATTGATATGCTGCTAAGAGTTTCACCACAAATCATTGCTGAGTTCAGAGGAAAAAAAATGTTTCACCACGGCTGGTCTCGAGTTCTCAAGCTGAGGTTACTGAATGAGGAGTATTCTCATGATTCAGCTTTCCTGAGCCTGGTGTGATTCAACTCCTTGTAAGGAAAATATATTACACTTTAGTTTAATTAAGATGGATTAGGTTAAGTGACTAGAATATGCCACTACCACTTAAAGATCGGGATGTAAAAATCATGGAGAAATAACTCAGTACAGAAGAGGTCTGCTTCCACCGAAGTGAAGTTAGAAGGTGGTAGTCATTTCAGTTAGGTGTACGAGTTCAATTCCATGTGGCAGTTTCAATCACTGATGTCTTTCATCATCAGAACATCTGTTTATCATTAAGAATTTCCTTGTGCAGTACAAAGGATGGTATAAATTGTGTTGCAAATATGGTATATCTTAATGCTTCTGTAATAATAATATCAAAAACATATTGGTAACCTCTTAAATTTGCTGACCCTTTAAAATACCATCCTAGTGGTAATTGACTAATGATTTGACAAATTAGAAGAATTTTAGAAGGCATTTGGCTTGCTAACAGAACAGAAAAGCTCAATAGCAAACACATTTACTCAACCTGGAGTATATGTGTAGACAAAATGAAATAATGGGATATGCCAGCCTGTTGTGAAGGCATTTCCGTTATGTAACATACCAGAAAAATTAGCTAGTTGGATATTTTGGAATGCTTTTTTTCTTTTATTACTAATTAAGAAGACATAGCATTTATTTTTAGGGGTAGTAGTCATAATTGAATACAAACTGTGTGATAGAATTTTCACAAATTTAGTAGTTGAATATGGAGAAAAAGTTAAACCAGTAGAGCAGTAGAGTATTTCTGATTCAGGTCAGAGAAGTGCTATAAAAATAGCCAAATTTAGAGAGCTAGGAAAAATAAGTGTTTTTCTGCAGTACAATAGAGCTTTGTAAAAAAAAAATTATTTGTGCCTGCTTTACATTTGAAACATTTGATTTTGTTTATTTTTTCAATTTTAAACAAGTCTGTTGAAGGCTCACAAATGGCAAAGGCATATTTATTACAGTATTTAAAATCCAATAGGAATAATTATCACTTTAAAAATTTTTAATTGCATAATTATTTTTTTACAGATGTATTCATTTTTATTGCAAAGTCAGATATACAGAAAGAAGGAGAGACAGAGAGGAAGATCTTCCGTCCAATGATTCACTTCCCAAGTGAGCCGCAATGTCTGGTAGTGTGCCAATCTGAAGCCAGGCACCAGGGACATTTCTGGGTCTTTCATGTGGGTGCAGAGTCCCAAAGCTTTGGGCCGTCCTCCACTGATTTCCCGGGCCACAAGCAGGGAGCTGGATGGGAAGTGTAGCTGCCGGGATTAGAACTGGCGCCCATATGGGATGCCTATGCATTCAAGACTAAGACTTTTTTTAGCCACTAGGCCATGCGGCCGGGCCCAATTACACAGTTATTCTTAATTCAATATCAAATATCATGAAGAATTCTTGATTTTTATTTAATTTTGATATTATTACAATGTAGTGAATTAGGTTATTTCATCCTTTTTGTTTTATAATGCTTAAGAGTAAAGGTTGGCAAACTCTACACACTGGATTGTCCACCAGTTTCTCTTTTCTGTTTTATTTTTCATGATATAGTTCCATAGGCTCAAGGATTTTCCCTCTCACCCCACCTGTTTTTCAGTTTAAAAAAAAAAAGTTCTAAGACACAGTGATGCTATTCAGTTAGATTTAATTGTCTTTGTTTCTCATTAACATAATATGTGTGAATAACTGTGATAGAGATTGTGTGGCCTGCAAGCCTGAAATGTTTGTTCTCTGCCTATGAAGAAGCTTGTTGGCACCTGCTAGAATTGCTAATACTTTGTTGTTCTGAAAATCATTAGGATCTATGAACTAGACTTAACTTATACTCCACATGTTTGGATGTAGTCACCTGATTTCCCTAGCTACAAATTCCCACATATGTCTTACAAAGTTGACTTTTCTCTTAGGAAACCCATGACAAGCTGGAGAGTTGCAAATTCAAAGTACAGGATGACGTTTTCTTGTTAGAAAAGCAATTAGAAAAAAGAGACTTTTGTATTCAATGAAAATACTATAAAATGCTAATGGGGTTTCAAAATGTAATGTAATTGACCAAAGTATAGCATGTACTAAACAAAAAGGTAAGGAATATAGAGGCCAAAAAATGGAGAGTACCATTTTCCAGATCCTCTATATTCCCTTCCTTAGATGCCATATGTAAAGTAGGTGTTTTTTTTTTTTTCATATTTTCTTACAAAACTTTCTACATTCACTACTGATGTATCCCATATAAGTCATTTAAGTTGAATGACCACATGCACACTGTGTAGTTTTTATTAATTAAGGATTTTGGTTAGGACATTATAAATATGAGCAGTTAAGATCATGATGTGTGTAAGGTGTAATGTACATTATGTACCTTAAGTGTTGTGAAGTATCAAAGTTGAGATATGGCATGTTGAAAATTGGAGGGGTTTAGTAAATACTTCTCTACTAACTGATACTTTCTTTCCAGACGAAGCAAAGCATACGGACCCTGGACAATGACAAAAAATCCCCCCAAACACAAATTGCTGAAGTAAGTTGAATTTGTCTAACATTTGTAGGTCTGTTGCTTTTGCACATAAATAAGATTTGGTTGTTGCTTTTATTATTCAGGAATATTATTTGATGTTAGGGTTTCAGAGGTAGACGATCTTCAGTTTACATACACACACATATACACACATAAGGCACTTGATACAAGTTTATTATTGTAACACTATACACATATTTGGAAAAGCTGTTGCTATATACTGAGTCCTGTTGAAGATGCTTGGAGTTTAACATATTAAGGCAGAAAAACTCTCATAAAGTTAGCTTTTAGTGGAGGAGATACAGAATTCATAGTTCACAAAATTTGCTATGCAACACATGGAAATTGATAAGAGGTTATGTCATTTGTCCAAGCTCACGTGGCAAATTGGTGGCGGAACTATATTCTGACTCTAGGTTCTTTCTTCTTGCTCCTGTGGGCTGTCTCTGTTGTCACGTTGTTGCCATGCTTTAGGATGCTTTAGCTGTTGTCCACGTGGATATTCTAGGGAGTCCATGAAGATGATCTATTGTGTTATGCTAATTGTTACTGACTTAATGTGTTTTATACTTAGGATGAAAAAACCGACAATAGTTTTCAAATGTATCTTGATATACTGAAAGAAATGAATGAATATTCGCAACTTCAGGAAAGATTGAAACAGGTTTGTACTCTGTAGAGACTCTAGCTTTCAACTATGTCATTAGAACCTCTTTCTGCATACTTGTGAGCAACAACATATTAAGAGCCAGAGTAGATATTTTTTTTCTTGTTATTATCAGAGTAGGACACTTCCTTTGCCCACTTGCAAGTGTATATTTTGGGGAGGGATACACAAGTGTATATTCTTCTGCTACTCTTTCCTGGGAGTGAAAGTAAACCAGCGTATTTTATACCTTGGCAATCCCAGCAGATAGCAGTTACACCCACACCTTATCCGAGGTTTAAAGGCAGAAGTGATTCTGGAGGTAGATAAAATGAGGACTTAATATTTAACCATTTCTCCCCAATTATATAAGTAAGATACACTCATTCACTTGTAGTTCTTTTCCTTTTGTTTTTGCTGTAACTTGATAGTTTTTCAGTGGGACACTTTAGATATGATCAATAATTGCATTATTATAATTCTCTAAGTGCTATATCTGGTTCTTGTAATAGGATTACATTTTCTGTCGCACCCAGCATTTTCTTTAACATAATTATTTTGTTTCCCATATACCTATTCATAATTCATCAATACACTGTCTTCAAGAGATGTCAGTCTTATAAAAATGCATTTATTTAGGAGGTGGAGATAAAGTTCATATCTTCTGGGTCATTCCCCAAATGGTTGTAATTTTTAGGGCTGGGCCAGGCCAACAGTCAGAGCTGGGAGCTCAGACTTGGTCTGCCATGTAGGCAGCAGGGATCCAGCTACACAAACTGTCACCTACTGACTCTTCAGGGTCATATTTATTGGAAGCAGGAAACTGGATGGACTGAGGCTTGAGCCACTCCATTATCAGAGAAACTGGATGTGGCTGTCGAGTGGTGCCTTGTTACATGAGAGGCTCAGGTCAATTCTTCTTCTTCTTCTTTTTTTTTTTTCACTCTGATGCTCTTGCTGGCTTTTTTTTTTTTTCTTCAGACTATATAATTTTTTGGGGGTGTTATCAAATCAATCTTCCTTTAGGCCTTCCCATTTTTATGTCTTAGCCTTCTGAGGTCTGCTGAGTTTATTACTACTTTTCTGTCACTTTCCATTTTTTGTTTTTACAGTCATCTTTGACGCATTTTGTATTTTACCTATTTTAGAAGCGAAGGGTTTATGCCTCTAAAACAACAAAAAAAAGCAGCAATCTTTCTCATGTCAAGAGCAAGTGATGGTCAACCCAGTGTTAAGCTTGTGA